TCTGTTTAAGCGGTAAGGCAGCCACACCATCGAGGAGCTTTCGAATTTGGTCAAAAAACAAGTAATTGCCTACATGGATGGATGTTTTGACTCTGACCTTGATAAGGGTGTGGTGTTGGAATCTATTTTATTCACCCAAATGGTGAACTTGAATCCTATAGTTCCTATTGGTAAAATTTCCTAAAACCTCACATGTGAGCGTATGACGATTAAAAGAGCTTTGGATAACTACCACAGTAGGGCAATTGAGAATTCCAGCGACATTTTATTGTTCTCAGACTCTAGATCTGCGCTCCAGGCGATCCTGAGGGGCAACTCTCAACTTACCCAGGATATAATTGCCCTTATAAACAAAGTAGTTGCAGCCCAAAGAATTTGCACTTCGCAATGGATACCGGCCCACGTAGACATCTTCGGCAATGAGAAGGCTGATAACCTTGCCAAGAAGACCCGAAATTTCCCTCAACTTTCCAATAGCCGTACTCTTACCGATGCTGATACAATAACCAGACCTAAGTTCACCTCCCATCCAATTATAAAGCACTTTACTACGCACAAGACACTTTAAAGGGATGAAAATATCCCCTGAGGGCCAAAGAAGTCACAATACTTGTCCTCAATTTCCTGATATTCAACTTTCTCCTAATCATATTTTTAATTTTTCTTCCATACTTCCAACTCCGCATCATAGACCTAAGCCCCATGGATCATCAACTGTTTTATTCGCCAAAGGTCGTCGTCATTACAAGAGCCGTTTTGGAGGCCTTCGGTGTAATTTGATTTCTCTGCACTTCGTGGATAAGACAACAGCATCAACAATTAGAATGATAATTGAAAAATGAAAGCAAAATTGTATTAAATATTTAAAAAAAAGAAGGGAAGGGCTAAGTTCGATGTTTTAACGTAATAAATTTATAACCAAAAGAGAATTTGAAAAAAAGAAAAAAAACTTAACAAGTTTCAAAATCAGATTGATTTTTGTGCATTATTTCGCTAATTAGCATTTTGTCATCAGTAAACTGGTTCTTGTTTTAATTATAAATTCGGCTTTAAATGTTTTCTTTAAAAATTACAATTAATTTATGAGAATATGTGACCATCTGTACTTTGTAATCAATCAAGTATAAAATAAACCAGCATGATATTAAAACAAAGCAGAAAAATACTTACATCTTTCATATAAAAGCTAAACTTTGTTCCGTTCCTTAAAAAATGTACATAATGTTCTATACTGTTTTTCAAATTTTCAATCTAAAAGTAACAAAAAGGTTATCTCAGATACAAGAAAACATTTTCGTTTTTTTACAGCATCAGATATCAGAATAAAATCAAGCAAACACACTTCTTTTTCACTCTCACCTAAGATAGTATATAAAATTCAAAAATATGTCATTTAGACTTTAATAAGACAAAAAAAGTTTGTCAAGAGGATAATTATTATATTTGAGGAGGATAGAACCCGTGACCTATGGATTCGTAGCCAGGTAACATGACCACTAGATAAAAGTAATCACACCTATCCGGAGGCTGTTTCTGGCTTATGCCGCTACAGTACTCCCCCACCAGTAAATCCGCGGATAGTCGAACGAACAATTATCTATTATGGCGAGCGTGTGAGTTGCTGCTGTTAACTGGTGGCGTTGCGTCAAGTGAGTCTGACGACTTTGGTTGATGCGTCAAGTGGATCTGACGACTTTGTGGTTGCTCTTCTTCCGGGTAGATGGCGCCACGATATAAGAAAAACGCGAAGATTGCGTTTTTCTTAATTCAGTGTCAAGGCCACCAATGTGGTGGATAGAACCCGTGACCTATGGATTCGTACCCGAGTAACATGACCTCTAGACAAAAGTGTTCATCCCTGTCCGCAGGCTGAAACTGGCTTATACCGCTACAAATTGCTTAAACCTTATTTAACAACATAAATATATAAGAAGGACGTTTTTTATTCAGTGTATGTTATGAAGTCATTCCATTCTATGAAGCTATGTTCTCAATATAGTTAAATTTATAAATTTTGAATCTATTTTCATTTGAAATTGAGTTAGATTAATATTGATAAAGACTGGTTAAATATGGTGTATATATAAATTTACATCTTGTTTTCTTTCCTTTTTTTCCTTGTTCTTTTTTAACAAAATGCTAAGTTAAGGAAATATGTTAATAATAAAAAAAAATATTAAAGAATATTTTTTTAAACAAAAAAAAAATGTGTGATACTTACTGAAGTTGCAAATTTTTTCCTCATATTTTTCTTCATCCATCTCTGCTTTAGAATATAATAGCCAGCATCTTGAACAAATGTTCGAACGATGCTACGGATCTGCGAACAATATAAAAAGTTATTAGATACCATCGACCTCTGTGAATTAGTATAAAATTTAGAAGAAAAAATAATTTATTAGAGAGATTAAGTAGATATAGCTTTCACGCAGATGCCCATGTATCCCAGTGGTCATGGCCATGAACTCTTGGCCAGCGTTATCGAGTCGTGGGTTCGAATCCTAGAGCCAGTGAAGACCTACAGTGCAGATCAAAGTCTTTATGTTGGCGAGTTGTGGAAGTTAGGAGAGAGTGTGGTATCAGTTCAGGTGTTGTCTGTAGTTTTCATCACACACTTGACCAAGTTTCTAAGTAATGACATACGTCGCCAATAGTTGTCCTATTGCTTTAAAGTGAGGTGCTTATACGGATGGTCATTCGTTTTTTATGGAAAAGATTTTGTAATTTATTTTTTCATTTGTATTTTGAGATGAACTCTGGTGATTTCAGAATAATTCATCTCATAATGTTTTCTTTTGTGTGGAATGTGAAATAAAATATTTAACTTGAAAATTTCTCGTAAAATTGATAAATGACTCGAAGGTTACGTAACTGCGCTTTTCGAGGAGAAATGTTCGTATCAAAACAAATTTTAAATCGGTGTAAGAACCTCGGTTATTGCATTTAAAAAAAAAGGTATTTATAATATGTTAAACCTGAAAGAAAAAAATGTCTATAGCTCGGAGCAAAAATGAATATATGACTCCAAACCTTCATCCAAAGACTGTTAGAAATCAGGCAACTATCAAGAAAATGAATTCTGTGATCCTGAAAGAAAATTCGCTGGCTCAAAGATTCATTGCATGGAAACTAGGAATGTCTTCCGACACTGTAAGTAAAATCATTCATTAAAATTGAAAGTTAAAAAAGATGTTTAAATCTTAAGTTCAACTGCTTTTACCAAAACATATTGCTGAGAGTAAAAGAAATTGTTTAAAATTGTATGAAAAACACTTAAATGCTGAAATATAGAAATTTGCAGTAACACTCGATGACTCATGGGTATATTTAAGGTATTGCAATAAAATAAGATCCATTTTCTATTGCTCATCTGACGGGGATGACCGTACGAAAGGGTTTCATCAGTGTACAGAAAAGTTCCCAAAGGGATTCATGATAGTTGCAGGATTTTGTTACAACCACAAATTAAAAATCTAAAAATTCTCAAGTAAAACCAAAATTAATTCACTTTACAATTTAAAAAATATTTTAGAACCAATTTTTAAAGAAGAAATTCTATTTTTATATGGAAAGGACATTGATAAATTTGAGCTTCATATGGAAAAAGCTTCTAGTCACACGTCCCAGTCAACTGCAACTTATTTAGCAAATAAAGAATTAGAAACAGGAATAAAGTGTATCTCATTTGATGAAATACCTACAAAATCACTTGAGGCTTCTCCAATGAACTTTTGCGCTTTCGGTTTATCAAAACGAGCCTTAGAAAAATAAAATTCAAGAACACTGAACGGGCTTTAAAAAACAGGTCAAGATAAATAGGAAATAGGGTAAAATCAACACGACATAACTAAGAAAAAGTTTATATATACTTTCATAGAAAATTCAAGCTAGAACTATTGTCAAGAATCGTGACTATCATATAGAAGCAAATTGTACCAAAAAAAATACTGCAATTATAGATACAAATTAACTATCAAAATCGTTTCCATAAAGTGCTTCTATAGAAAATCAAATGTCTGACTCTGAGAGATAAATTAATTTCTTTTGAGACAAATTTTTTTAAAAAAATAATAATACATTTCTAACTTTTAAAAAAGGATTAAATTTGCATCACTTTTTAAATATTCCCTGAAACTGAATTGCGTGAAGAAGTGCTCGTCTGAATGAAGAAAAGAGGAACAAAATCAGCAGTTATGTGAAATTCAACTTCTCTTATGACGTAATTGATTTAATAGACATTTGTTATACTTTGCTGTTCCATTTCCTTTCAATTTCATAACCTAACTTGTAGTGTAAAATAACTGTATCTTATCTGGTAGTGTCTGACTGTTCAACATCTACAAGTAATTGACTTATCATCTTTATTAATTTAAATTACTGTCAAAAGACATAAATATTATGGTAATGCGCATTTCTATCCAGCTTAGTTTTTCAATATCATTATGTCTGAATACAAAAATACAGTTCATTTCTTCATAAGGTTATATTTATTTGTGAAGTTTGTGAGGAAAAAATACTGAAAAACAAGTAATATATATAAAAAAAAATTTTAATCAATTTCTACTTAGGTCAACAAAGAAATATTTTATTTCAGTTAATTTTATTAAATAATTAAAATTCACATAAATATGATGTATAAATATATATATATATATATATATATATATATATATATATATATATGTGTGTGTGTGTGTGTGTGTGTGTGTGTGTGTGTGTGTGTGTGTGTGTGTGTGTGTGTGTGTGTGTGTGTGTGTGTGTGTGTGTGTGTGTGTGTGTGTGTGTGTGTGTGTGTGTGTGTGTGTGTGTGTGTGTGTGTGTGTGTGTGTGTGTCAGAATAACAATATTAAGTGGCAAAATAGAAAGAGATTTTCCTTTCTATATAGGGTGTTGGACTATTATTCTTGTTCGTTACTATTTATTCATTAATTCAATTTAATCATTCTAATAAAGTAGTATATATATATAGTAAATAGAAATCACATTCTCAGAAATTAAATCGTCCCAGCAGGCATCAAACCCACGATCTTTGGATTAGAAGTCCAACGCGCTATCCATTGCGCTACAGGGACACAACGTGCAAATATTTGTTTTTTATGTATGGTGTTGGACTATTATTTTTGTTTGTTACTCTTTATTCATTAATTAAATAGAATTAATGAATTAATATTTGAAAAAACTGCATTAACATCAAGTGTCATTCATTACAAGCTTTAAAAATTGTATTTGAACTTGAGTGGAGGAATTAAAAGTATTTTATTAACGATTGAAAAAGGTTGAACAAGATATATATATATATATATATATATATATATATATATATATATATATATATATATATATATATATATATATATATATATATAGTATATATATTTGTATATATAGGGAGAGTGTGAACAACTGTAGGAATTGAAAAAGTTATGATTGGCGTAAAGCTGATATCATATTAGTTACAAATAAAATAGAAAATGATAAAAATTATAATTATTATTATAAAGAAAACTTTGAAAAAAACATAAGAATAAATTTTGCGCGCCATAAATATTTTTTCGTGAGAAATTTATGTTCTAATTAAGTAATATGATAAATGTAGTGTTGTGATGGCATCTGATCAACTGCGTCAGATCGAAATTCTTCGGGGCAAGAGCCTAGTTTTACGTTTGTCGTTATCCGCAGCTTTTAGCACCATACAGATGATAGTACGACTGGACTCGGTTCCACCCCAATTTTGATAAAATTTGATAGACCAGGTAATTAATTTGATATAATTTGATATTTCTGATATACCAGGGGGAGAAATAGATATAGTTTTTTTAGTAGGGTTTTTTTTTGTAAAATTTAAATATTCTTGCTATAAGTTTTAGCAAAATGTCTCTTCACTGATGAAGCATATCAATTTAAAAGCCTTATGACTTGTTTATACGAATGTGTTTTATTGGAAAGTGATAGCTTAGGTTTGAAAGCAGTTTTGTTTGTTAAGCCAATACTTGTCTACGTAAACCTTTATGTTAAACTTATATATTGGTCTACTTATATGTTTTCGGAAACAAAATTTGGAATTTAAATTTGACTTCAAGTTATTTGACTTCACGTCCCAGGTATTATGTTATTAAAAAGTTCAAGCTGACTTGAGGGAGGTGTCCCTTACTAAGTATGATAGGTTTGATTTTGGTGGTATTGATGACAATTTGCCCAAATTTTCTATTTTATTTAAGTAATTATGTAGGGTTTGTCTGATTTAAACTGAATGCTTCTGTATCATCTACGAACTTATACACGCTGTAACGTTTTCCCAGCATGCAGCTACAAAATCGACTTCTTTATGTAGATAGCATTTGCCTCCATATCCACATGTGCACCCCTAAATATTGCAGATCCCTCCATCAGACATCCCACCGGTAACCGATGGTTGTGCGAAAAACACCTTAAGCTGCGAGCCGAAATCCCGAGTGTAATTCGAGGTGTAGGCGGCGACCGCTCCCACCCCAAGATAGTGAAGAGGTGGTCTGCTTTGAAACACCGGAATGAGTGAGTTAATATTAACGTCGCACTGTTCAGCTACACGAGGGCTTTTGGCGACGGACCACGTAATTTTGAACCATGGTCAAGTGACGTGGACGACACCTGTGAAACACCGGAAAGAAAGGTTATAAAAATGGATGTTTGTATATATGACCTTGCTTCAGTACAACACCGTTCAACCGATCACTATGAAAATTGGCATGTATATGTATTTTTTTTTTGAGGAAAAGGTTTTTGTGCAATCCTCTTTGTTGCAGCTCCCTGCCAGGTGACGCTACAGAATATTAATTTCTGCACCGTTCAATCAATCGTCAAGTTGTCAACATGGCCGCCAAAAATGATGCCAATTTGGCTCTATCACCAACATTTCGTTAAACTTTCATTGAATCATCATTATAATAAAGAAACGACATTGCTAGCGAATAATACAATTTTAACATAAAATAAATATAACAGAAACTAATATTAACGTATTACACATCCAGATTTAAATTAATGACACTATTTTAAGCTTTCATAACACAAAATGGGCCAATGGGTTAATTTTGCTGAACAGAGATCAACTTAAGAAGGTGTTTTCAGAAACCTGTGACGGGGCTTTACGGAGTTTTTTCTACTAATCCTCTTGAGCAATCTTTGGGACCATCAATTGAGTTATTTCACAGTTAAAGCTGAAATCACACCAAGACTGTCAGCGTCGAGCGTCGAGCCAGAGACTTCATCTCGGGCGAAATGGTCTCTGATAGGCTAGACGCTAGACTTTCGACGTTTGTACACCTTGGTGTGAATGAGCCTTAACCCTCTCAAGAAGAAACCTTGATATGCAAATTAGTTAGTAGACATATAGCGGAGGTTTTATAATCGAGAGGAAGGAGGAGGAAAGGAAGCTGAGTTGCTGAACACCGTGAGGTTATGGTAAGGATCTGAACTTAGACGCGTAATTATAGATCGGGCTTTGGCTATTCAAATAAATTAAGGAAGTTAGGATTCATAGGATAACTTTACTTAAAGTTAAGCGGTTAGGATTTCAGGCGCTTATTCACATAAGTTTTAGAGCTGCGATATATAACTCTTGATTTTCCCTCTATAGTAAGATTGCCTTTGATTATTATATTGGATAATAATAAATTGGATTTCTTATGGCTAGCTGGGGTCATCAATCTTTAACCCCTACAGAATTCGATGAAGAGATGGCTTCACCAAGTGGGAGGCTATCACAAATCTACTTACAAGGAAGTTACGGGGCGTTATAAACAAAAAAAGTGTTTTTTATCAGGTATTAAATCTATAGACTTAAAATTTTATTTTTAAAATAATCTTTAGTTTTCGACTTTTCAATGTACTCGCTGCCTCCTTGTAGAGTTAGCCTGACCCTCTAGGGGCGAGCGTTCCACAATTGGAGAAACGCTGCCTTACACACAATGGAACGACACTGAAGTGAATCCTTGAAGGATACCTGCCAAAATTTCACCTGCATACGACGTTACTTACTAGAAAAGATTAAATTAAAGAAAATAATATGCTCACATCTTCCATGTGCTTTTCTGACAGCCTTTTGCGAACGTACACTTGTCCTAGTGGATACGACATATAACGAGCAATCCACTCTGTGCAATGCTCCCATTTACTAAGTCCAATTTTATGATCAGCGTTCAAAGGAATCAGATCTGGATGAGACAACTTCAACACTCGGAAGAAATGGCTCAGGTCATCTAAATGAGCGATGATGTATCTTAGAGCTAGATAGTTGGCAACAGAACTGGAACAAAAAGATTTAAGATGGAGATCTTGCACGCGAAATATTAAAACATACATATATAAAAGCAGGGATTAAGAATCAACATCTATAAAAATGAAAGAAAGCAGTCTGAAATACCTAAAATTCATTTTAAAAAATGTGAAAGGAAAGTTTTATAAAAACAGTAATTGATGTCAGGGACGTCTTAATGCGCGGGCCCACTGCGCCTTCGCCTAGGGCTTCAGACACAATGGGGGCTCGTCTCGTTCTCGACTCAGCCTTAATAAGATCATGATTCGAATAATTTCAACGGTCAAATGTCTTTTCCGGTTATATTCTCCGAAAAACTAAGAACTTCGGACGATATGTCAACTGGTTCCATGTGATGATTGTCGTCCATGTATAGGCCAAGGCTATACATGGACTACACTATACTCTATCTTTATTCAGTCAAAAGGTGGCTGTTGGTCGATCCTATTTGTGCGATTGTAAGTCATACACATTTATTTGTTTTGGGTTATTATTCGTGCGAGTATTTGACAATGTATGCTATGTACTGTTTACTTTTAAGGAGTCATAGTTTGGACCTACTTTTGCGTAAGGGCTCAGGGCCTCAAGAAGTCTTTAATTTGTGTACGTGCTTATGACCTCATGATAGAAGTGAAAACTTCTAATTTATTCTGGGCAAGAGTATTCAATTGTTCGGGTGTACTCTATGCTTTCTTTTACGACATTTTCGCAGATCACTTTTTGGGGCCATTCATCAGGCGATTTGTTTATTTTATCAATTTTCTGTAAATGACAATGTTTAAATAATTTTACATTCTTATATATTTGTATATGAGTATACACGATTAAAAAATGTAAATAAGTTTAATTATTTAAAAATATTTATATATACAATAATTATGCAGATTATATTTCATAAAATGTATGTTTATATAACTAATATAACGCCGTATTCTATGTAAGACAAGGAAAACTGAGCCTGAGAGCCGTTTACTTTTCTTAAAATTCTCTAAGCAAACAAAAGGAGAGGGTTAGTGCTCTTTTTCACAATTAATGCTTTTATTTTCTCGTAATCTCTTAGTTCTCATCGCCAATTAGCTTCATTAAAAATTCGGATTTTAATTATTTTGGCACACTTTTGTTCTTAAATGTTCTTTCTGCTTAATCAAAAATAGATCACATGGTTCGTTCCTTCTTGGCACCGGGCATAACATTATTTGTACAGCTTAAAGGAGTTTATCTAATGAAGGAATACTTTTAACAACGTAATACGTTGAATTTACACATTCTGTTTGTTGTTGCAAGCGTAACCAATGTAATCGTCTTCATTTTTATGTTGCACAACCACGGTCGCAGGGATGTCCAAGACAAATTCCTTATATTTTATAAATTCTGAGCATTTCAAAAGTATTTTTTTTAGTTAAACGATTTTAACGATTAATGTACTTCACCAATTTCTTCTAATACTTAAGAAGTCAAAGAGCAAATACAAGAGAGAATACAAAGAAGTCAAAAGAGTTTAAGAAGCAAGTCAAATTTTGTAACATTTTTAAACATTATTGATCATAAGCAATGTTCAACGGAAGAATCAAACTCTCCTTTCCTAGATAATCCGTTATGACATCTGGTTCTCAACGGAGAGTGGAATTTTGATAACGAACTTCGAAATATTATTATAATAACTATCAGAATCTCTCTTCCAATTTCCTGAAATCAAATACATTGGGGTCAGTTAGCATATAGAGAAAATCCTCCTCCAATTCTGATGACTCAGTAATCTCCTCCGTATCAACAAGCACC